CACACTGTATGTGAGCGCCCGCACGTCGTATTTTGTGAAAGAGCCACACTCAAGGGGCCAAAGAGCCCCATGTGGCTCACGAGCCACGGTTTGCCGACCATGGGCCTACGCAATCCAATTACCTTTCCACAGGTTTTCCTCACAGTTAGTGCTTTTCAGCCACAACTCTTACATTTTAAGAATCTTCAGCTAACCCGAGACAACAGCCTGACTCTGATTCCGAAGCCTTTTGGTTTTACCTTTCATGTTGCAGTCTATGGTTCATCTTGAATTAATGTTTGTGAAAGGATTGAGGTAGGGTGATGAGTTTTTCCCATTGTGGATTTTTTAAAAAAATCCTCACCCGAGGATATGTTTTTATTGATTTTAGAAAGAAAGGGAGAGAAAGAAACATTAACTGGTCACTTCCCATACGCGCCCCAACTGGGGATCGAACCCGCCACCTTCTGGTGCACAGGGTGATGTGCCAACCAGCGGAACCACCCGGCCAGGGCCCAGCATGTCCTTTTAATTTGTCTCACACTATTTATGGAAAAAACTGTCCTTTTCTCACCAGACTGCACCGGCACCTACTTGTGAGGCTGCGAACCTGTGTGTGCGCTCTCCGTTCTGTTCTGTGACATCATCAGCACCATCACCATCATCACTGTTGGAGTTTTCACATGACTCAGCACGGAGGGACATTGATACCTCTCTCTGAGGGAGTACGAGCTATTACAGGGTCTCTGTAGAAGAAGACCTATTTGCTGAGAAACTGAACGCTGGGCAATGACAAACATTCACATACCCTGTGGGGCAAAGAGGGGCTCAGGGAGGTGCGTAGAATTTAAGAAGTGGCAGAATCAGGGTCTGTCTGCTCCAGAGACGATGCTGTGGGCACTATGCTATAGGACTACAAAGAACGGTTTGCTTATTATTCCCACTAAAGGTGCTGTATGCCTGTGAAACTTACAAATGAGGTATTTCAATACACACACAAAAAAAAAGGTAAAGAAAAAAGGAAGGAAAAAGAAGAAAGAAAAGAACAGAAAAAACAAAAGCCTGTTTGGATTCTCTTTCTGTCCCTGTGCCCTCCCCCTCCAATAAAAACAACATTAGAAAAAGCCACATCAAGGACGCTGATCAAAACAGATCAAAAAAGAATGAAAGAAAAACATTTCAAATAAAGTTCAGCTGTTTCTATTTGGAAACAACAACAAAAAGTCCCACTTGCCACAATAAACTGACAAATACGAAATGGCCTCTGCGGTCGCGGAGCTGGAATTTTCCGATGGCATTTGCTCCTGTGTCATTACTGCGGGATCCACAAGTGCGCGGCGAGCGAACAGCTGGGCCGCGGGCTCGTGTCGCGAAGCAGCAGCAGCCCAGGGCTCCTCACCCGCCAGCCACCCTGGAGACGATGTCTTCCCGACACTGGAAATCCCCACCGGCCCTGGAAGTACCCCCCGACGGGGCAGTCAGTGGCCTCCCAGCCTGTCCCACCTGGACAGGTCTGACACGCAGCCCGGAGTTCCTGATGCCCACGGGTGGCCGGTCACAGAGTCCCATGGGGTGTCCGGGGGCCGCACAAGCCCTCCCCTCCCAGGGAGGAGACTGATGGGCATGGCCCGATGACCCAGTGACCAGAGAACCGAGGTATTGTTACTGCTATTCAACATCAGAACTGTTCCTGGTCTGAGCATACCCAAAACATCACCGCTTTTTAACGTAAACTATTGAAATGAAAATTCACTAAGAGCTTGCCTGTTGTTAATTATTTGAAGAGGTTAAACCAAACAGATGTGAAATAATGTCATTGCCGAGCCAAGCTTAATGAGTTCATAAAAGAAAGAACTCTTGGGAGAAACTTCTTTTGGCAAGCTCCTGGGACTGCCAGCTTCGACCGTGCCCAGCTCCCATCGCTGGCTCCACCCCTACTTCCTGCTATCACTGGCACACGTCTCACACACACACACACACACACACACACACGTCACCACGCCACTGTGCTCATGTTCCTCCTTTCACTCGGCAGAAACTGCACGGCAAGGGGCCCCCAGGCTTCTGGCCTTGGCCACTGGACGACGGAGGTGTCAGCGCTGACCAACACAGGCCGGCTGGGCAGAGGAGGAACAGTCTCCCCGGACGTGTCAGGTTTGGGACATTGGTAAGACACACAAGCCAAATGCTAACGGGGCGTTAGATACACGTCTGATACTCAGTAGAAAAGCTCG